GCCAACCGCCTGTCCCCTGTGCAGATGGAGAAAGTGAGCTCAGAGATGGCAGGGGACTGGCCCGAGACCCCACAGCAAGAGTATGGAGTCCCGAATAGGCTGAACACTGGGCACTGTGATGGGCTTGGGGGTTCAGAGTGTCCTCATTACCCCGCCCCCCTGACCCCTATAGCCGTGGGAGGGCAAGCGGCAGCAGAGGGGAGTTCTCTCCCCCACCGTCCCAAATGCTTGAGACCCAGGTGGCTTCCATTCCACTGCTGGCCTTGGGATTTCCTGACAGGTGGGGCTGTGCCTGTGGGAGGGAGTGGGGACAGAAATCCGTTGCTTCCAGAAAGAGAATCTTCAGTATCCATACTAACAAGCTATTGGGTGCAGGGAGAAGGGTGGGGCCTTGCGGCAGAAGGCGGGGGGCCCAGGCAGACTCTGCCTCTTGGCAGCTGGGTGCCCCCGAGTGAGTCACTTTTCCCGTCCGAGCTCCTTGTTTTCATCTGTACGCAGAGAACAGAGGCTGCACTAGTTCGGGATCTCAGCCTATCGCCCCGGGGCGTGAGGACAGGGTCGGGCGGCAGGCGGAGGGGATGATGGCTCAGCTGGCCTCCTCCACGAGAGAGATCTCAGGCCACCACCCGAGGCCCCGGCCCGCCGAATGCTCTGGATGTCCCTGCCCGGACGGTGGTCAGCTTACCAGCTGTGACATCAGCACCGTGCACCCAGCTTCTCTGAGGAGGAAAACGCTGTGAGATGAGCAGGGATTGAGGAAAGGACCCGAAAAGGAAGAATGGGGCATTCTGCCACCCGGCCCGGCTGAGTATAACACCCCCCTCCCGGAATGTTCCCTCAGAGTCTGGGCCACTTGAATGTGCTTTGCTTAAACACACACGTCGCAGATGCTGAGGTGGCACATGAAATCTGGCTCCTGGCAAAGGGTCACTGGTACACCAGCGGCTCCCTGAGTTCATCTTCTTCCTCAAGGCCTGTGTTGTTGCACCCTTGTGGTGCCCCAGGGCGTGGGCATCTCCTCTGGAGAAGAAGGGCTGGCAGCGGGTCCAGAAGACTCATCACTTCTCATTTGTTTGACCCTCCCCCAAAGCACTGGCGAGAAAGCCACGATGGGTAAAACTCTGGTTGGCGGGGGCAGAAACCTGTCTTTCAGCTGTGTGTCCTTGGGGAAGGGGCCTGGCCTCTCTGAACTTGCATCTTTATCTATACAGTGAAAAAAATATTATCTTCCTCCCAGGCCAGTTATCAATATTAAGTGTGGTCCTTGCAAGTAAAGCCAAGCAAAGTAGGTGTTCAATAAATAAGCTATCGTCATTTTGTTACAGCTATTTAAAAAATCAGCTTGTGGTCTGCACAGAATTAAAACTGGGACTCGCCCTTCTGTGCCATTTCTGCAACATTATGCAGATCAAGTCACTGGACTGTGGGGTTTGGATCTGGGTCTAAGTGCTGGCTCCTGGCCCTTGTGTGACCTTGGGTGAGTGGTTTTTACTCCTCAGAGCTTGGGTTTCCTCCTCCATAAAACAGGGGAGATAACCACATTTCCTCACGGAAGTGGCTCCTGAAGTGATGCACGCCAGCCCTTGGTACAGAGTCTGCTGATCGGCGGGGTGCTCCACGGCCGTTTGGGATCCTTGTCTCTGTTTTTATCGGACTGGGACTCCGCTGTGTACAAAGTAGTGGTTTCTGCGACCCTGGCACCCTGGCCATGACCCTGGGACATTAGAAGTCTCACCCAGGTGGCATAAGTGGTAACTGAGGCTTGGCCAGTGTCTGTTCTCGAGCTCAGCGGGGAAGCAGGGGTCAGAAGGGAAGAGCACATCCTGTTTGCTCTGCTGGGGTTCAGCTGTGGAAGGCAGAGGACGTATCCCTGTCCCCAGGCCCAGGCTGTGGGCACGGTGTCCCCCCACCAGCTTCTGGATGTATTGTCTCTTCCAGACCCACAAAGCCAAGTGTCTCCTGGGATTCATTGGGGCCCCTGCTGGCACCGGATGCAGGAGAGAGAAGAGTCTAGACCTTTAGTTGCGGCTCACCCCTCAGAAGTGCAACCGCATGGGGGTCACTCTCCTTCTCTGTGCCTCTGTTTCTCCATCTGAGTGTGAATCACATCGAAAGGGTGAAACTCTATTCTACCACTTACCTCAAGTGGCCTTCAGTAAGTTACTTCCCTTTCCTTAATTTTTGTGCCTTTGCCTATAAAAAGAGGCTAATGGTAGAATGTCACAGTGGGAAGTTAATGAAAACAGGAGGGCACAAAGCTGTAGTTGGTATGATTTTCACTGCCTTTTTAAAAGTCTATGTGTGTGTTTGTGTCCCCGGTTTCAAAAAAGGCAAAGAAAATTTACTAAAACGTCCCTAGTCCCTCTGGACACTAGGCTCACGGGTGATTTTTACTTCCTTCTATATATTACTTTGGTAGTTTTTTTTTTCTAGTTTTTCTACAATGAGTGTGTGTCTCTTCCAGTAAGAAATGAGCAATTAAAGGCCTACAAAATGGCGGTCCCTACTGTTCAGGGCTGTCAGAGAACCGCAGCCAGGAGACGCCCGGTGAGCCCCCAGCTGGGGGCAAATGTTCTCACTGCTGACCGTGCTCACCCTCTCCTCCCGGGGGCGCTGGGGGTTGGCATCAGATGCGCCCGCAGGGCTGCCCCTGACAGCGGAGGGACCCTTTGCCTCTGGAGGCCTCCATGGCAGAAGACACAGACTTCAGCCAAAAGGAACCTTGAAGAGGAAGGAAAGTAAGGAGAAACCAAAGACCTGACTTCTAATTCCAGTTGCCTCCCCCTCCCCCGCTCCTACTTGACCTTGCACAAAGCACTTGGCTTCCCACAGCTTCCCAATCTTTAGGACGGGGTTATGGGGTTAGGGGTTACGTGGTGCCCTCCTCACGGGGGAGCTGTGGGGACTCAATGAACCGGTGGCTTCGCCTTCACCTTGCCTTCCCTCCCCTGGAATCGCGAGAGAGGTCAGGTGACCAGTGTTTAGGGTGCTAATCTCAAGGCTTCGCTGGAAAACACATGGGTGAATGTTTTAAATCATTGTCTCATCCTGCTGTTAACAGCCCAAAAGATCACCTGCAGATGCTCTGAGCCGCCCCCGCCCCTCCTTCCTGGTGCTGCTACTGTTACTTTCAGACAGCTGGGACTGCCTCGCTGCCCCGGATGCTACAGCCCTCCCCTCCCTCCGCTCCATGCTTCTGCCTCCCACACCCTACCTGCAACCAAGACTGCCCTCCACCTCGGTGTCTTTCCCCTCCCCCACACACCTATCCTCTGCATCTCAAAATACTTTAAGGCTGAGTTTCAGTGTCACCTCTTCCACGAAGCCCTCCCTCCCTGCTTCACCCAATGGACCTGGGATCCTGTGCCTTCTCTGAGCTACTCTTCCACATCTGTTTCAATGATCTACTTATGCACCTGCTTCCTCCACTGAACTGGGAGGGGAGGGTGCACATCTTGACCTTTCCTCTCTAGTGTCTGGCCAGGGAAGGACAGGCGGGCCTCAGTGAGGCTTTGCTGAAACGGTGGCAGCCGCTCACCCTGTTAGAAGCGAGGCTGTGTCTCTTGCCATCAGAAACAAGTGAGCAGAGGCAAGAAAAGGAGTTGTCTTCAGTAGCAGTTTGTCCTCAATCCCGTCGGCTCAGCACCCAGGGGTAGGGCTGAAGCTGTCATTTGCCAGGACACTGGTGCTGAGGCAGGAGTCCCCAGAACTTGCCAGGCCAGACCTTTACGTGTTACTTCCACTTGTTGAGGGGAAGCTGGGAGGCACAGCAAGGGGCCGTTGCACATGCAAAGCACTAGTGCTTCCTTGCCGTGTTGGGGCCTCGCGACACCCGGTGAACCGGGCAGGGCCAGCGAGGGCTCTGCCCCCCATTTTCAAATAAAGAGGCTCAGGCGCTGTGGGGTACCAGGTTTGGGCCCAAGTTGGATGTGGGTTTTCTGACATGGAGGAGATCATCCTTACAAACACTGGGCTGGCAGGGGAGAGGGGGCAGGAACAGGCAGGGCTGCCGACCCATTTTACAGATGACAACACTGGAGGTGTGAGGAGGAAAGCCTGCTGCAGCTTTGGCAGGCAGAGGATGAGTAAGCTATAGAGGGCTGGTGGGGAGGGGAGTGAGGGCCTGAGCTGGAGCCCCGGGAGGCAACGTGATGTCCCAGGGTCCCTGTGGGACCCCCACGGTGGGAAGATGAGCGTGGGCCACAGCGGGGCTGTGACAGGCGGGCTCTTCTGTGTGGCATCCCCTCGGAGGCTCTCAGAGCTCAGCTGGGCTGGCTTTCTCCAGGAGAGAGAGGAGAAGCCCGGGGACAGGAGGGGACACACCTGGGTGTCATCTGCCAAACTGGCCGCACCAACCAGGACTCAGCGCCGGTCTTTTCCACCTCGGCGCCGCTAAAACCAACTCCCATAGCCACGCGCTTCAGGAAAGCCTCAACAGAAATGTACAAAAATCTCTTTTTTTGGTTTTACACATATTTTTTTTTAAATTTTTTTTTAATGTTTTTTTATTTATTTCTAGGAGAGAGAGAGACAGCGTGAGCAGGGGAGGGTCAGAGAGAGAGGGAGTCACAGACTGAAACAGGCTCCAGGCTCTGAGCTGGCAGTCAGCACAGAGCCCGACGCGGGGNCTGCATTCTCAGACTCTTTTTGTTCATGTTGCTACAGTGTCTTCAGACTCGGTACTGGTCACATGAAATTCCATCTGGTGAATTTGCCATAATTTACTTTCACTCTTCCCTTCGTGAGGTCAGCCATGGTTGTTATTTTCTTTTTTTTTCTTTTCTTTTTTAAAATAGTTTATTTATTTCTAGGAGAGAGAGAGAGAGACGGTGTGAGCAGGGGAGGGTCAGAGAGAGAGGGAGTCACAGACTGAAACAGGCTCCAGGCTCTGAGCTGGCAGTCAGCACAGAGCCCGACGCGGGGCCCGAACCCACGAACCGCGAGATCATGACCTAAGCGAAAGTCGGACGCTTAACCGACTAAGCCACCCAGGCGCCCCATGGTTTTACACATATTTAAAGGACAACGTCTGCTCGGTGGCTCGAGGCCCCGATCAGTCAAGAAGTAAATACCTTGCTTAGTTCAGTGACGTGACATGCAGGGAAGTGCGAAGGTGGCGGGGCGCCAAGGGAAGGAGAGCAGAGCGTCTGTGGCCCCTCCTTCTCCACGTTTCTTCTGGCTGCTCCTGGGACCTGAGCGACCTGCTTGCACCCGGAGGAGGTGAAGGGGGGCCGTGTGGGTGCGGGCACAGGATGCAGGGTCCGCGCGGCCCCCGCATAGCGAGGAACGGAGCTGCCAGACCCAGTGTGGCAGGTGCTGTGGGGGCCAGCCCGGCCCACCTGGGGGTCCTGAAGGGGAGTCAGGAGGCTGGCGGGCATGAGGTTTCTGGATGTTTCCAGAACCCTCTGCAAGTCCTAGGTCTCTTCTGGGCCAGAGGCTCAGAACTGGAGATGTTCTGGACTGGAAGGAAACTGAAGGTCTTCAATCCAAGCCCGGACTCGATGTCTTCCCCGCCCCGGGGCAGAGATCTTCCCGTCCGTCCGGAGAGCTCGCCTATGCTCCCCATCCACGCCCCAGCCCCAGGTCCCGCCACCTAAGCCGATGGCCGGCCGCAGTGGGTCTGTCAGTCCCGCTCAGACCCTGCCAGCCCCGCGCAGCATCGTGTCCTGGGATCTGGGGCGCCAAGGGCAGGACTTCAGTCATCTTACTAACCCCCCAGCGGAGCTGGCTGCGGAGTCAGGTGTGGCTGGCCCAGCCTACCCGCGCTAAGCGCTGGTCTCCACGATGCACTTGAGGAACATGGTGTCGTCCTTCACGTAGGCATGCCTGGGCGACTGCAGCCTGCTGAGGGGGAAGAAGAGCGGGCAGCCACTGGCCACGTTGGTCTCACTCTGGGGCCGCTGGAATGACGCGGAGCTCAGGTCGGGCCGGAAGGCGTCGATGGCGTGCTCACGGTTGTTCTGGTCGAGAAGCATGAAGGTGACCTGCGCGGCAGGGGACAGGTGGGACGTCAGACCCCGGGCGGCAGCGCCGAGGGACACCTGTACGGCCCCTCTGCCCCTGAGCTCAGGCTGACTAGCAGTCAAAGAAACAGTGTGAGGGCCACATCTGGCCTGTGGCAAGACCCGGAAAACGGAAGCATACGGCTTCTGAGCAGTCTTCAAGGGTTGCCCAGCGAGCAGGGATCAGAGGTCCTATCCTACAGGAAGGGGCAGAATTCAGAGCTATGGTCAATTCTGATGAGCGCTCTGGGTGCTAAACGTGGTACCGAGCGCCGACAAGGAGGCCAGGACCTCTGGGGCCCCTTCCTGCTCGGAACTGCTTGATCCACCAGCCACGCCTGGAACTTCCTGGGGCGAGGCTGGGGGGCGAGGACACACAGCCCTTCTGCACGGGGCTGTCAGTCCATGCCCTTCGACGTGAATGGAGTTTCTGGGATGCACAGATATGTGGACCCCGAGAAGCCAGGATCTACGTGTGACACACCCCCTTCTCCTGCACACGTCACAGAAAACACCCGTTGCCTACCACGGTGGTTCTCCAAGTGGGCTGCGCTTTATTTATTTTAAAATGTAGATTCATTTATCTGGAGGGGGGTTGCCCAGAGAATCCCAAGCTGGCTCCTCGATGTTAGCGCGGAGCCCGGTGAGGGGCTGGAACTCACGAACTGCGAGACCATGACCTGACCCAAAACCAAGAGTGGGACGCTTAACCGACCGAGCCCCCCAGGCGCCGCTGGCCGCACTTTAGAATGCCCTGGGAAAGCTTTAAAAACCCTGATGCTCCGGCCTCACCATTCGCAGGAGTGAGACCCGGCCGTTGGTACTTTAAAACTCTCCCTGAGAGCCATGGGAACCACCGGCCTGGTGACTGACTCATATCCAGACCGCTGTGGCGTCCCCACCCCTGCGCCACCTGTTTTCCCTCCTCTCACTCCACCCTCGCTGAGGTCTGTGTTCTCCACCGCACCCCTTCCTTACCCTGTCGCTCCCGCTCCCTCCTCCCCGCCTCCCTCCCGGTTGCTGTTCACGCTGTTCACCTGCAGGGAAGGCCTAGCCTACCCCCTCCCTCCTATTGTCCTTCTAAAGACTTTTAATAGGCTTTATTTTTTAGAGCAGTCTGTGCAGCAAAAGCGAATGGAAAATGTAAAGATTTCCCACATACCCTCTGCTCCCACACAGCCTCCCCGCACCCAGTCTCAGCACCCACACCAGAGGGGTACATTTGCTGACAAACCTATAGCGACACATCCTAATCACCCGAAGTCCATGGCTGACCACCGGGTTCACCCCTGGTGCTGTGCGTGCCTCCTCTGGGTTTGGACAAACGTACCATGACAGGTATCCTGAATTATAGTGCGCAGCATAGTTTCACTGCCCTAAAAATACCTGTGCTCTGCCTATTCATCCCTGCCCCCACCCCCACCCCAGGCAACTACTGATACTTTCACTGTTTCCATAGTTTTCCCTTTTCCAGAAGGTCATATAGCTGGAATCACACAGTCTGTAGATACCTTTTCAGACTGGTTTCTTTCACTCAGTGATTTGCATTTAAGGGTCCCCTGTGTCTTTCCATGGCCTGAAGCCTCATGTCTTTTTAGCACGGATAATATTATCCCCTCACCTACCGAAAAACATCTTGGCTACTTCCAAGTTTTGGCAATTATGACCGAAGCTGCTATGAACATCTGTGCGCAGGCTCTCGAAAACAAACGCTTTCAACTCATCTGGGCAAATACCAAGAAGTGCAGTTTCTGGATCATATGGTAAGAGTCTGTTTAGTTTTGTAAGTAACTGCCAAGTTGTCTTCCAGAGCGGCCGTACCGCATTTTGCGTTCCTGCCAGCAACGAATGAGAGCTCTGGCTGTTCCGTGTCCTTGCCAACATTTGGTATTGTCAGTCTTTTGGCTTGTGGCCACTCTAAGAGGGACACAGCGGTATCTGCCTCCTTCCCTTGTTTTCTGAAAATGCCGCCAATTCAGGCTAGCCCCCCCACCCCAGCACCTCCTCCAGGAAGTTCTCCTTATTCACACCACCATGTGAATTTCACTTTTGCGTGCCTTCCGGGGGAGCTGGTCCAGGCTTTTTAGTCCCTGGACTCATGATAGCCATGGATACCAGATGTGAACTCTGGCTCTTGTTTTATAAAAGGTGAAATGGAAACGCAGAGGCTTCCCCGCCCCACCCTGTCACCTCCCCACCCCCCAGCCCGTACCTTGTTCCGAAAAGGCCAGGGCAGCAGAGCATCATATTCCCCTCTCATGATCACGATGAAGAGGGACAGGTGGGTCCTCTTCCCTGTCCCATCCCCATTCAGGTAGAGCCGCAGACAGAGTTTGTAGCCGTACTTGGCAGTGTAGAATGCTGAAATGTGGAAGCCAGAGTCAGCACAGAGGTAGCTGGAGGGCGTTGCACCTGCAGATGAGGAATCTGGGATCTGTGGCCAGGCATGGCCAAGGTCAGTGGCTCACAACTAAGCAAGCCGGGGCTGGAACCCAGCACTCTTCTCCATTCTAGGGCATCAAGGAGGGCGAGGTTCTCAGGCAGTCAACCAGCCGTCAGAATCACAGACCGCCGGGCCTGGAGTGGGACGCACTAGTGCTGGGCGAGGCCTGAGAATGTGCATCTCCGATGGGGGATGGTGATGCTGTTGGCTCCCACACCACACTTTTGATTTAACCGACCTGCATTTTGCAATGGGGAAACCAAGCCCAGCAAGGGGAAGTGGCTGGCCCTGGTCTCACAGCGTGCCTGGGGCAGAGCCAGAACTAGGGGCCAGGGCTCCTACCTCACAGCACCGACCTCTTTCTGCTGCCCTAGGCCAAGTGGTTGGGGTCTCCTGGAGGCTGGGGGAGACCGAGGCAGCTCACAGCCCTGCCTGCCACCTCGGCGATGGCCCCCGAGGGATGAGTCGTCATCCCTGGGTGATTATGCAGAGGTGCCCATGGACTTGCTCGGGGGGCAGCTGAAAGGGCCATGCAAGCATGGGTGCCAGCGGCTGTCACCACGAGGGCCCCTCTGGGAGGGGCTGATGGAGGACGGTGTGTGTGTGTGGGGGGGCCAGGCAGAAAGAGGTGGAGGAAGGTCGGGCCGACAGGCTGACTCCTCTGTCCCCTTACATTTTGGTAAAACAGGAAGCCAGAGACAGTGCTTGCTTTTTCCTCTCTTTGGAAAGAAGTGAGGAAAAAAGGCCTACGTGGAGGAAGCGAGGCCACCCCACGAAGGGGCTGCTCCTGAGGAAAGGGGCCCGGCTTTGGGAGCCAGCCCTGCTCTGCCCTGTGGGGCAAAGGCCAGTGCCTGCCTTCCTCCCAGCCTTGTCGGTGGTGGTGCATCAGAGGAGCTGATGCGCAGGAAAGGTACGAGGCCGGGGCAACTGTGAGAGGCGAGGACTGTAATGGGCAGAGGGGTGCCGGGGTGGCTCGGTCGGTTAAGCGTCCGACTTCGGCTCAGGTCATGATCTCTCGGTTTGTGAGTTCGAGCCCTGTGTTGGGCTCTGTGCTGACAGCTCAGAGCCTGGAGCCTGCTTCGGATTCTGTGTCTCCCTCTCTCTCTGCCCCTCCCCTGCTTGTGCTCCGTTTCTGCCTCTTTCTCAAAAATAAATAAACATTAAAATTTTTTTAAAAATCCATAATAAGGTCGTAACTTGCAGAAATCCTCCGAATGATCCATCCCCTTACTTAGATGCACGTGTGTGAGGTGTGAGGAAAAGCACATAAGTCTGAGAATTTTGTGCACAACTATACACATCGTTACAGAAACAGATACCAGTTAAGTAAGAGAAACCTCTACTGAGTAACTAGCCAGGCCCAGGAGCCCCAGGAATGAATGAGAAGTGTCCCGATTTTACAAAGCACTCACTCGTGTCCTACCCACAACCTAGAAAAGTATTTACCTAACTCTCCACTGGCCTTAGTTCAGGCACAGGCTCCCTGACGGCAGGGCCCTGGGGCACGCACCTGTGGGAAGCATCCTCGGCACCCCTCTCATGTCCCCGAGCTCTGGCTCAAGCACTCGCTCACACCCCACATCCACATGAAGCAGGTGACAATCTTATTCCTATTTGCAGAATGAGACTGATCTCAGGGAGGCAGAAAGCGTGCCAGGGGTCAAAGAGCCCACGCTCCTTGGCCTGCCTCCTCCACGGTCCCAGTGTGGTCCCCGCATGGCAGTCAGAATTGGCTGCTGTCCCCGCTTGCTTCCTGGGTCCCGGAAAGCCTGCCTCTCCCTGCCGGTCTGTGCCCCCCCAGGGAGCCGGTACCTGGAGAGAAGAGGCTGACGGTCCGGCCACAGGCTGACTCGTGGCAGCGTCTGGTGACATTGGTGATCTTCCAGAGGAAGGTGCCGTCGAAGGAGGCCTCCTCCATGAGGCGGAGGCTCTGCTCCAACTTGCCCAGGGCCTGGTCTTTCTGGGCCAGGGTCTGCTGCAACTCCACCACCTGTGGGGGAAGCCCGTTCAGCCAGGGACACCGGAATGCAGCTTGGGGAAGGGGAGGGGACAGATCTGTTCCAAACATGCCTTCCTGACCACGCCTGCCTCATGCATCTGGCTCTGTTCGTGCTGGAAGTCCTTTGCCTTTCTTCTCCATCGGCCACCTTCTATTTCTCCATCAGGAATCTGATTGCACGGCCCTTCCTCTGGGAAGCCTCCAACTAGTGCCCTCGCTCGGCTAGCCTCTCTTGCACCTGTGTTCTACAGAGCCTTACCAACAGTTTTATAGGATACGTCTTTCTGCCCTTCCTACCAGATAGATGGTTCCTCCTAACGGAGGCTGGGCCCATGCTCATTTTCTCTCCGTGTCCGGCCTTGCAAAGTTCCTGGCCTGTGAGGGTAGAGCCAGGAAGGCTGTTGATAAACTGAAGACATGCGCTCACGGAGCCCTCCTTCTACCTGGGGCAAGAGTTACATAAAGAGAGGTTTTACTCGGTCCCTCAACCCAATGTCTTGCTTTTCTGGTGGGTTCCCCGGCTGACGTTTGGAAAAATACAGATTTATTCTTGGGTGTGCTCAGGTAGGGAAGGGAGTATCCTTAAAGGACATCGAATCCCTAATTTTACTGATGGGAAAGCTGGAGTCCTGAGAGGGGAAATGACTTACTCAGACCTACCCAGCAAGTTAATGGTGGAGCTAGAACTAAAATCCAGGCCTAACTCAACTTGAGACAGTGATATAGTGTTGCTGGAAGAAAAACCTCACCCCGTCACACACACACACACACACACACACACACACACACACACTCAAATCCCCCCAAAACCAAGACCCAACAATAACAAAAAATGACATTAGCATGGTGGCTGGTTATATCAAGAAAAGTATAAGCTCTGGAAGAAAGGAGGGCAAAGTCCTGCTCAACCAAGAACTATCAGGCGAATTAATTAGACTGAGACAGAGCATATAAGGACAGCATGAAGCAATATGCTCTGATGAAGGTGTGAACGTGCCGGGAGTGTTTAGCTTCAAGAAGGCAAGACTATATCTGAAGGGCTTCCATGGGGACTAGAAGGCAGATTTGTTTTGTGGGCCCTGAAGTGGGAGGCCAGGCACAATGCAGGGGAGACACAGAGAGGCTGCTTTTAGTTTAGTATAAGGAAGCACTTTCTCATAGTGAAAAGTGTCTACCAGTGGAAAGAAATGCTTGGGAAGGGACTATCCTGTCACAGCTGTTGTTCAAGCAAAGGAAATGAAGCACACTGGGCGGGGGAGTTTGACCTGAGCTATAATTTGAGACTCGGTGCTCTTCTAGAGGGTCTCGGAACACAGGAGAGATATTTCTGATGGGCAGGGGTGATTGCTCTGCTCAGGGAGGATCCTTAGAAGGCAGGCAGCTGGTCCACAGCTCTAGAGACAAGGGGGGGCCAAGGGGAGGCCCTGAGCCAGCCTGGAAGGTAAGCCCGCCTCCCCTGCTCACCCTCTGTTCCAGGCTCAGGATGTGCTCACGGTCGAGCTGGCTCTGGTGGATGGAGGCTGCTAAAGCCAGGTGGGAAGCCTCCACCTCCTTGTTGAGGACAGCGACGATGTTCTCAAACACACGCAGCTTCTCCTCTAGCTCGGCCAGGAGCTTCTCCTTCATTAAGTGCTGCAGGGCCAGCTCCTCCTGGCCGTCCGAGCAGGGTGCCCGGTAACAGTCGACTTCCAGGTCCCCAGCCACATCCACGGCCGCCTGTAGCTGCAGGTCTGACAGATTCTGCTCCAGGGCCATGGGCCCGGAGCCCAGGCCAGAGCCCAGCTGGGCCTTCCACTGTCTCATGAACGCCAACAGCAGGTTCAGGTGGCTGGTCTGGGAGGCGACCTCATGCTCCTGCATGAGCTTTGGGCTCCCCTGTCAAGAGAGTGGGCTAGTCAGTGAAAACCGAGAAGGTCGAGGAGAACCAGGGACCAGGGGAGAGCCCTGCGACCCAGCGTTGTCGAGGAAAGTCACATCCATTCACTCAGCACAAGGGAAGATGCTCTGTGCGTCGCAAGAGGGATTTGGATGAGGATCCTGGTATCAGACATGCCCAGGCTGAGCCTTGTGCACCCCAGGCTCTAGAGCAAGAATTCTGGCCTGCCCTAAAGTGCAGTGATCATTCAGGACCACGGAGAGAGGCACGGGGGCTGGGGGAGCATACTTTAGCGACACTACGACACTAGACACTACGGGGGCCCACGTGAGACATTAAGAAGAACTTCCCTGAGTATGGAGATGACTTACTAGTGGCATTAGTTACTCAGGGAAGTTCATTAATGTAAGGGACACCCAGAGGAGTAGCGTGGTGATGTGGGAAAATCTGGGAGAGGCTGAAGTGGGCACGTCTCCTTTCTCACATCCAGATGCTTACCTTGTAGGAGCAGCCAACACCAGCAAAGGGGCACCCAACTTCAGCCTCAGCCACCTCGGGGTGATCCTGGAAACAATACCCATGTCGTTAGATGTCACATGGGTCCCAGTGGCCACCAGTGCGCCTCTCTGCAAAGCACTGGGATCTGCCAGGCCATGAGCTGGGCTGGCTCACATGACTTGGCACATGCTGTTCCCTCCGTTTGGCTGACTCTCTGCCACCCTTAGAGCATCAGCCCTTCCAGGACTGTCCTTCAAAACAGGATCAAGGCCTCTGCCGCCATGCATGTTCCACTCGGCCCTACAGTCATCATGGGCTCTGTGGTGGGCCTGCTGGTCTGGAGGGCTGTGAGGGCCACAGCTGTGTTCCCAGCATGGAGGACAGCGGTCCACACACTGGGAACATGCTGGGCTGCATGACTGAGCACCTCCCTCCTCCTGAAGCCCGGGGGGCCTCTGCTCCCACGTGCACCCCTCCTTGGCAATCCATCCTAGACCAATTGAGGCATGTCTGCTCTGCACTGCTGTCCCTCACAGATAATGTGTACCAGAGGGGAGGGACATAGACAGGATTCAGTATTCAACCCGACTTGATAATACTGTTAATCTCCTATGGGTCTGAGGAGTTTACAAAATGCTTTCATGATCACGATTCTGCCCAGGGCCCCTAACAACACTGTGAGGAAGGCAGAATGGGGTTCTTTTGTTCCCATTTTACTGATGAAGAAACTGAGGCTCACAGAGGGGGAGGAGTTTGCCCAGGAAGGAACAGCTAGGGAGCAGCAGCACCACAGAGCTCTTCCCATACAGTATCACCATCTCTTATCAAGAATAAGCCCATGCGAGGCTGAGCCTGGGTGGCTCAGTCAGTTAAGCACCTGACTTCAGCTTAGGTCATGGTCTCATGGTTCATGAGTTAGAGCCCCGCATCAGGCTCTATGCTGACAGCTCAGAGCCGGGAGCCTGCTTCGGATTCTGTGTGTGTGTGTGTGTGTGCGTGTGTGTGTGTGTGTGTGTGTGTCTGTCTGTCTGCCTGCCCCTCTGCCTTTCAAAAATAAATAAACATTAAAAAAAAAAAGAATAAACCCATGGGAGATTGGCAGAAAGATTTTTCCAAAACATATTATCTAGAAAGGGCTTGTATCCAGAATAAAGAAATCTTACAATTCAATAACTAAGACAAACGACCTAATAAAATGGGCAAAATAATGAGCAGATACATTGCAAAAGGAGCTGACAAACCTATGAATAGATGTTCAATGTCACTCATCATCCCAGAAATGTGAATTATAATGAAACACCACAGTGAAATACCACGATCTACTCATTAGATGGCCAAAATTAAAAAAGAGGGACAATATCGGTTTTTGGTGAGGATGTGGAGGAATTGGGAGGGCAAAATGGTACACCTAACTTTGGAAAACTTGATGCAAGTATATCATAAAGTTAAATCATACTTAAAAAGCAACTTTCTTTTTTTAAAAAAATTTTTAATGTTTATTTTTGAGAGAGAGGGACAGAGCATGAGTGTGGGAGGAGCAGAGAAAGAGGGAGACACAGAATCTGAAGCAGGCTCTACGCTGTCAGCATAGAGCCCGACACAGAGCTCGAACTCATGAGACGTGAGATCAACATCTGAGCCGAAGTCGGACGCTTAATCAACTGAGCCACTCAGGCGCCCCAAAAAGCAACTTGCTTAGAAACTATGCATATAAAGTTACTGTGCAACCCACACACTGCATTCCTAGGAATTTACTCGAGAGAACCTAAAACAAATGTCCCTGGGTGTATGTGAATGTTCAGAGTAGCTTTATCCATAATGGCCCCAAACTGGAAGCAAGCCAAACATCCATCAAGTGGTGACTGCACACGCAAAGTGTGGTGTATCCATGCGCTGGAATGTTCTCCAGCCATCAGATGGACCAAGCTGCCAATATGTGCAATGACACGGAAGAACCTCAAAAGCATTACGGTAAGTGAAAGAAGTCAAACACTACAAGAAGTCAAACACTACTACGTACTATGATTCCATCCTTATGAGATTCTAGAAAAAATAAACTCTAGCAACAGAAAGCGGATTCAGTGGCTGCCGGGGGCCCAGCTGGGGAGACGGACAGGCTGGGGGGCACAAGGAAGCTTTTCAGGTGCGGAAACATTCACTCCCTTCGCTGTGATGGTCACACGACTGTATACGTTTCTTGGCATTCGTCAAACAGTACACTTGAGTGATTTTTATTACATATAAATCATATCTTGATTTTCCCAAGAGGTTTGTTGTTGTTTTTTAAGAAGAATAATGTTATGCGGCAGAATGAAGGGAGATTTGGAGAAAAGTGGGGGGAAAGAAGAGGTCTTTTAGGCTGAGCAAATACAAGGCCATGCTAGTTATTATTCTTTAAAAGTAAAATAAACAAGAGCCGTGAGTTTAATGAGTACAGTTGGTTTGGAGCACAGAGCACAGCTCAGCAAAGGGCCACCCTCCCCTTCACCCCCTGCCCTGGGCTTCAAGCACAACTTGTTCCCAACAAGGAATAGAACACAGATGTTTCACTGGGGCGGGGGCGGAGGGCAGCTTTGGCAGAGACCGTGCTGGCTTCATGGGGCGTGTGGTGACGGGGCCTCTCCCAGCAGGTAGCCTTCAACACTTGGGACAGTGGAGGGCCTGAGGCTAGGTGTGGACCTGGTTCTTGGGTAAGCTCCTGCGCCCTAAGTTTGAAGCGAGTCATAGAAGGGATAAAGAAGCAAAAGCGATGAAACTAAGGGTGGAATTGCAGATGTCACCAGCGCGTGGAGGGGCACATGTTCTTCTGGCCCCTGAGCCTAGCCGGTGTGGTTTGTGCAGGATGGAAAGCGCCATCCGGATGTATTAGGATGCGCGGATGGGAGTGGTCTGTGATCGGCCTCCGATGGCTGACAGAGGACGGGCAGGTGGACCCGGGAGGCCTTCAGATGCCTCGGTGGCCTCCAGGCTGCCCATAGTCCCACCGCCAGTCAGTCACTCGCTCCTTGGAGCCCACGCGGGTTAGTGGGCTCTGGAGTCAGCCCGAAGGAGTGTAAAGCCCATCTCAGTCACCTCGTTAACCTCTCCCTGCCCCAGGCTCCTCATCTGCAAAATGGGGATAATAATAGTACACCCCCCAACGGCCCCCATGGAGTTGTGAGGATGGCATCGGATAATATTCGGCCGGTATTAGTTACTTATTGCTGCTGTAACAAAATACCACAAACTCAACGGCTTAAAACAACACAAATTTATTCTCTTAACAGTTCTGGAGATCAGAAGCCATAACGTCAAGGTGTCGGCAGGACTGAGTTCCTTCTGGAAGCTTCAGGAGGGGAATCTGTTCCCTTGCTTTTTCAGAGGCCACCGGCATCCCTCAGCACACAGTCCCTTCCTCCACCTTCAGAGCTGGCAGCACAACATCTGCCAAGCTCTCTGACTCCTACTCTTTTGAGGACCTTTGCAATCACCCTGGACCCATCTAGGTAATCCAGGGTAATATCTCCATCTCAATTCAATCCTTGATATAATCACATCTCCAAAGTCACTTTTGCCATTGCTATGGATGGTGTGTTCCTCCTCAGCCCTCCCCCCCCCCCCCAGAACATGACTGTATATGGAGACAGGGCCTTTAGAGAGGTAGTGAAGTTAAAACCAGGGCATTAGGATTGCCCCGAACCTGAAATGACTGCTGTCCTTATAACAAGAGAAAGTTGGTTGCAAGGGAGGGTGATATGAAGATACTGGAAGAAGACAGCATCTTTTAAGGCTAGAGAGAGAGGCCTCGGGTGAAACCCACCCCATCTTCAGATTCTTGCTTCCAGAACCATGAGAAAATAAATTTCTACTGTTTGTGGCAACGTGGTCTGTGGTGTTCCCTGACGGCGGGCTGAGGAGACGAATCCGGCCACGTAAGGTGGCACAGTCCCAGATTCCGGGAGTTAGGATGTGGATGTCTGTGAACACTATTCTGCCTACCATAGTGTTCAATAAACGTTAGCCGTTAGTAGCGGCAGTGGTATTGTTATTCGTCTTTTTATTCCTATGGATTAAGCACTGCCCTTAGCACAGGTTTTTCCCTTTCTCCCGTTGCTGTCACATACGTGCCTCTCACCTACTTCTCACATCTCGAACTCTTGATAACGAATTCTGTAAAACCCTATTTTGCCACTGGATTCCTCGGGGAGTGAGGCACATCCTCGGCGTGTTATCTGTCCTTATACTGTACCAAAGCACTCTTGAGTGTTATCTCGGAGGGTCCCTGCAGTGGTCTCTGAAGGCAGGCAGGGTGCAACCAGCCTCGTCTTCATGCAAGTGGGAAACTGAGTCATGGCTGGCTGAGGTGACACCAGGCTTGACCACTGAGGGGCCGCCTGGATCTGGATCCCCTGTCCCATATTTCTGGGACCCCGCGATGGTTTGCTGCTTTCTGGGCACCTATGTGAGCACTGCCCCATCAGACCTCACGGCACTGTGAGGAGGAGGTTGGGGCTTTGAGGTCCTGCTTGTCATCCAGGTGGGGAACGTGAAGCTCAGGGACGGCCAGTGATCGCAGGGCGCGATGCAAGTTCAGGGCAGGGGCGAGGTAGAGGCCAGGGGCCTGGAGTCCATGACCAGTCCCGCCTCTCTACCGGGGAGTCCTCGCCTTCACCAAGGGGTGGCCTCACCTGAAGGCTGGGGACCGAGGGGGCAGGAGAGGGAATCAGGCTGGGGTCACAGAGGAAGAACTAGGCCTCTGTCCCGGGCCAAGCCTGGTACAGGTCTGGTGCCACAAGCGGCCCCTGTATGAGTGGCCTCATTGCCTGCAAACTGCTAAAAATAAAATTCGCAGTGGAATTTTCTCTGAGGAGGAAAGAGAAACAGAAAACAAAACCCCAGCCCTGAGGGAACACTTGTCCTTCTGTCTGGATCCGAGAAGTCTGGGGGCGTGTGGTGTTCCCAGCCACCCTGCTTACCCAGGCCCTTTGTGATGGGGTCAGCGGGGGCGGGGGGCATGCAGAGGCCCCCCCCACTCGGGGGCCTGTGGGCTTCTGAGAATGTGAGCATTTAGAGAGTGCCAGAGCAGAAGAAGGGCCTCTGTGAAGCCACTGCACATAGCGCAGGGCCTGCAGCGGGCCAGGCGCTGACCACACTGCTGCATGAGACACAGAGGCTGGTTCAGGTCTTGCCCTGGTGTCAGCTGAGGGACAGGTACTTTACGATGACAGGGTGGGCTGGGTCAGTCTGCATCCACCTGCCAGTTCCTGCCCTCCTCTGTACCTTAACCGGTTTCCTCTTTGGTACCTTCTGCTCAGCTCACCACCTCCTCCAGGAAGCCCTCCCTGAGTCTCCTAGTAGAAAGCAGTCTTGCCTATTCCTGTTTTTCCACAGCGCTTGGTGGAGTCCAGTAGTTAGGGCTGACTGTGTTATTTAAACCTGCATAAAACACTTGGGGTGATCCACCAAGAGAAGACGCCACCAGCCTAGGTTTGCCCCCACCCCTTTGTCATATGACTTTGGTTAAGGCACACCTTCTTACTGAGCCTCAATATATTACCTAAAATCTAGGGAAAATAGGGCTATTACCACCACCCATGACTCAGGATGTCATGGGGTCGACAAGGTTACAGATGCTATGGTCAAGTTCAGAAGTGTAAGGGTGCGGGGGTTCATTTCCGGGCATCATGCATCAAGAGACAGTGAGGGATGGGAGAAACAGTCACCTCAAATGCATAGACACTGGGGACAGACTCAAGAGGGACATGGTCAGTGTCTTCTCACAGATGCAAGCTTGCTTTGGGGGACAGAAGGCTGAGTGACTGGCCTTTCGTGGCCCCAAGGAAAACAGACTTCAGCTCAGTACAAAGAGGAACACGATGCAAGAGTCCCAGCCCCCCTTGGTAGAAGTGATTGTTTCATGGGGTAACGAGCCCCCGGCTTATTGTAAAGCCACCGGCGTCGGGTGCCAGCTTGCTTTTGGCCTTCCTGAGCGGTCTCCGAGGGAGGAGAGTGAGAGACGCCCTCGTATTCACAGTGTCGCAGGCAGACAGAATTGAACATGATTTTCCAGCCACTGCGTTGTCCCCTATTTCACTTCTATAGGAAGGTCATTCCAGACAAGAATGCAGCCTCTAACTAGGTCAACCGTGATCCTTTAATACCTGCGTCTTACGTTAGCTAATCAGCCCATGGCTGTGAGCATTTCTGGAAGGGATATTAATCTAACGAAGTCAGAAGACAAGGACATGCCGATAAGCAGATGGCATGGAAAGTGATCACAAGGCTGGGCGCCCCTGGGCTGGACTCGGCCCGGCTCTGGCCACCCTGCACCTCATCCACCAGGTTTCCCCGGACGCACAAACTTCAGAACGACCACACATGTGAAGTGCTGACTTCTGATCAGCTGCTTTGGTCAAAAGTCCCCCAAAGTTCCCATCAGTGGCAGGAGTCAGAGGAGCCGCTTTCCAGCGTGTGGCTTTGTGCAGGTGTGAGACTACTGGCTCGTGCTGGCCCCTGGCTTTTCGCCGGGGGTGTGGTGCCGACCACCTCGGGCGGGGAAGCCGGGGTGGGGATGGGGTCTACCGCTGCCTGCACCCAAGAGGTCTTTACCTCCCGTGCAGACAGCACCCACTCCCACCTCGAAGCATGTCAGGTACCTATAATCCCACCATTGGAGTCATTTCACTGGATTGAAGGCGACAAGCTTCAAACTGTGCCCTGTAGGCCTCCAGGAGCCCCCAGAATTCCTCGGAGGCTGGGACAGGAGAAAGAAAGGGGACCACTAAAGTTATGGGGCGCCAGGCTCACCCTTAATCAGAGCACTTGTACTCTCCTCTTCTCTTTCACATTCACAAAGATGAAAAATTAAGCCCCCTGGAGAGATCCAAACTGTCTCTTACCTATATTACCCAAGATTTGTACAATGAATGCATATTGATTTTGTTAAGAGGCAAACGTGAAACAAATTGGAAACAATCTTCCTGGAGCACTCAAGCAGGGAGGCACTTCAGAAGGCATGTGGCATATGGCCTCCCCTCGGCAGGTGGAGTGGGGAGGCCCCCAAGGAGCCAGGGGGCTGCTGGGGTCTCAGGGTTAGCTCACTAACACATCCAAAGAGGGAGGCCTGCCTCAGTTTATCCAAATAGAGCTTACACCACGTTGCAGGGTGTACAGTTCTGGGAAAATACATCGGGTTCTCACTCTTATTCTATTGAGGGTCTGCGGAGGGGCTGCTGAGGAAAGGGTGGGGGACCCCTCAAAACCAGCTCTGAGTGGGGGAGGGGCAGGAAATTCCTCCAGCTCTCTGAAGGAAGGGGGCCAGAATGGAAAGGGAGAGGAAGGTGTGAAGCCTTGTCTGCCTCTGGCTTCCATAGGTGGGAGGTAATCTGGGCACCACAGGTCCTGGAAAGGCTTCACAGAAGCCAAATTAGCTTCTTTTTTTGACAGATGGAGAAGCAGACGTGGACATTATCTTGGCCGTGCACTGAGCCTACAACCTCCCTAGACACCAGGCTCCCGGTCGCTGGGCCGTGGCTTCCGGACAAGGAAGGAACTTAGGCTGAAAGAAGCCAGGAGCCTCACAGATAGTGTGGGTGGCCAAATGGTGAGACCCTGGTCACCAGGGAGTTTGACGCTAAGACTTCCCAGTGGGTGTCAGGGCCCTGCGTGGGAGACCCAGAGGCTGGATTTGGAGCTACGGTTCTTACATCCTGGGACCAATTTTTTTGTTTTTTGTTTTTTGTTTTTTGTTTTTTGTTTTTGTTTTTTAAACCAGAAGATTCACCTAAAGACTGCCACTTTTTTCTTTTATCTTACCAAGTAAACACTTTATCAAAAATCCTATCATCTACTGTCACCATCATTTCATTTGTACAAAGGCACACATACAGGGAGGACGTGATCGTAGGGTAAAGATTGATTCTACAAATGGAAGTGATTCTAGTTTTATGAAAAACCCACTACGATTTCCTTATTCTTATCAGTCTTGTCATGTACTGGTGCGGCTGGACCAGCTCCGGCTGGCACGCGGGAGCCTGACCTGGAGGGATGATCGGTGAGGGCTCTTCCAGCTTAGCAGGGCCAGAGATCGAAACTGTGCAGCCTGAGAATGTCTTTTTGGCCCCTCACACTTCCAAAGCTATTTCTTTCTTTTTAAAATGTTTTTTTTTTTTTTTAATTTATTTCTAGGAGACAGAGAGAGAGACAGCGTGAGCAGGGGAGGGTCAGAGAGAGAGGGAGTCACAGACTGAAACAGGCTCCAGGCTCTGAGCTGGCAGTCAGCACAGAGCCCGACGCGGGGCTCGAACCCACGAACCTCGAGATCATGACCTAAGCGAAAGTCGGACGCTTAACCGACTAAGCCACCCAGGCGCCCCTCCAAAGCTATTTATTGTTCCTAGAAGCACAGCAGAGCCTGAGAGATAAGCTGAGAATGACTTTTCCCTGCCCCTGGGGCAAGGGCAGAAAGAACTGTCTGGACCAAGAGGGGATGAACCTCTTCACATAGGGCCAGATAGCAAATATTTAGTGCTTTGAAGTCTCTATTGCCATTACTCACCTCTACTGCCGTAGGGCAAGAGCAGCCATGCATGATACATAAAGGAGTGAGCTGTGGCTGCATACCAATAAAACTTTATTTATGGACACGGAAGTCTGAATTTCATAAAATTTCCATATGTCACGAAATGCCATTCTTCTGACTTCTTAAAACCATTTGAGGGGCACCTGGGTGGCTCAGTCGGTTAAGCGTCTGACTTTGGCTCAGGTCATGATCTCGTGGTTCATGGGTTCGAGCCCCACGTCAGGCTCTGTGCTGACAGCAAGCTCAGAGCCTGGAGGCTGTTTCAGATTCTGTACCTCCCTCTCTCTTTGACCCTCCTGCGCTTACGCTGTCTCTCTCTCTCTCTGTCTCAGAAATAAGTAAAACATTAAAAAATTTAAAAAAACAAACCATTTGGATTATAAAAACCATTCTTAGTTTTGAATTGCTCGTGGGTCATGCAAAAACAGGTGGCAAGCTGGATTTGGCCCATGGGCTGAGCTTGCAGACCTCCGGTCTGACTGGTGTTCTCACCCTGAATCCATCACAGATCTGCAAGATGTCTTTGGGTAAGCCCCTTTGCCACTGTGAATGTCAGTCTCCCCACTGCTTACAAACTGGTGCAGTCTACACTCCAGACTCCAGACAGTTGCCTGCCACAGACTTTGTGGGCTGCTGCCCGATGGCTTCAACCTCGACAAAAGGAAAAAACGGACAAATACTCTTTCCAGGCCATGCCACGTACCTTCTCCTGAGACAGAAGGCTTCCTGGGCTTCCAGACTGGGGGTCGTCCCCTCTGCATTTCGGACACCTCCGATCCTCGCCGTTCCTGGGGACACATGAACAGACCCTGCTGAGTGAAGCATTCATGACTTCTTGGCACCCACCTCCATCCTCATCGCTGCAAGAGCCCAGGCCTTGACGTGTGCGGTCCACAACCCCACACCCACCATTCCCACACTTCCAAAGTACTGGGCACCTGGTATCTTCCCGCAGTTTGCAGTGAGCTCAGTTAGCGGCCAAACCTGACCCGGGGTGACGGGAGGCCATAACCACACTTAGCTACCCCACTTAGCGTGAGCACTTCTGTTTCACTGTGGAACTATTAATAATGCCCCTGTCCCCGCTGGAAGAATTATGTAGTAATGCACTCACTTCCTTTTCTAAAATCTGAAAAAGTCCTGAATTCCAAAATGTATCTGAGCCCAGGGGTTTAGGGAAGGGATTTGTACATGTGTGGTTATATCTACTCTTCTTGACTTCCTCTGTTTGGCTCTGGGTCTCTTATTTCCAGTAATTATGGATGACCACAGTCAGTTAGAACATGATAGAACACGAAGGGGCCTCGGTAAATCTGAGGTTCTTACCCAGGAGTGGGTATCAGGCCCTGAACGCAGTGACACATGGACCTACATGCTTTGAGAAAGCTCCCAAGGGGTTCTGACCCACAGTGAGAGCCAATGCTCAGGCCCGTCTTACACGAAGGGAAATGAGGCCTCGGGGATGTATGGCTCGGCCAAGTGCAGACTGATTTGGGAGCTGGGCAGAGCTCTTCAGGCCCCGGGCCTGGGTCTTTCTGACATTCATTGAGCCAAGAAAGCCACTGCAAAAGCCTGAGATGAACCCTCCCCCACCCCCCGCAAATCAGCTTGAGTGAAAGCAGTCAAGCTTTGCTCCCCACCCTCCCCTCCCACCCCGGCTTTTCCACGGCCACATCCTCTCCCTTCATCACAGCCTCCCCTTCGTCAGAGTACTTGAGCTTCTTGAGCTCGCCTGACTCAGTTTTCCCCTCTTCTTAAGCTGTGAATCCCCAATTAAAGGTCACGCTGGCGCGTGGCAGTTTGGGAGCACATTGGCTGGGAAACTGCCCTGGGACAAGCTGCCCCAATCTCTCCATTAGGCCTCACTGTCCCCATCTGTACAACAGGGTGATAATGGTATCCACCTTTCCAGGTTCCTCTGAAGATCCAAAGAAACAGTCTTAGCACATAGTAGGTGCCTTAATAGTTGCTTCGAATGGAATGCTGATGATCATCCCGAGTTATTTATATTGTAACTACAAATCCGAGTTATTTATATTGTAACAACAAATATAGACATAGTTTTACATATACATATACATGTATATCATATATGATACATATGTAAAATGTGTATTCTATATACATACACATATCCGTATGCATATGCAGATATACACAGTTTACTATATTACACGGAAATAGACAAATACAGATGTGTATAAACATAGGTGTCTGTGTCCCCTTGAAAAGCACTGCCAGCACCCAGTACAAGGCGGTGGTTGGTATCGCGGAAGGATATGTATTTTATGGCACTTGGCATTCGCCACGGGAGCTTATGCTCACCGTGACAAGAACTTGCTTGCATACTGACTGGGCCTCGTACCAATCCTGGGAGGCAGAAAAGAGCTTTGCAGGCCTTTTACAGATGAAGAAGCTGAGGCTTCTAGGTGTTGGGCGCTTTGCACAGGCCACACAGGCAGAAAGTAGCCCCGCTGGGTACAGAGTCCTCCCCACCCCACCCCCCTGGTGGCTGTCTGCAGCCGGGGCTGACAGCTTTCAGAGCCTGCTTCTCCCTCTACCCCTAGTCAGAAGGGCCAGCACCATGGACTGCATGGAAAAGGTGTGGAATCAGGCCCAGGTGGGTGGTCACCTGCCTAAAGCCTTCGGTGCTTCTCAGCCTCTCCTCCCGTCACGGATCCCTCCCTGGCACCTTCTCCTCACCCGCCCTTTGCCCCTCCGACCCCTCACCTCACGTTCTCAGAGAGGCAGGCGGCACAGCAGAGGGCCTTGGGCTCTGGTGGGTCCGGGCAGGCGGTGGGGGGCCACCCAAAGGGAAACTCGTTCTCATCAGGGGCCGGGCGGGGGCTGCTGGCGGAGCCAGACGCCATCCCGGGGTCCCAGGCTGGCCAGGGCGGGGACCAGCCCTGTCAAGTCTGTGCAGAGAGAAGTGAGTTCTCTCTGGTGCGCAGGAGTCTGACAACTTTATCTTTTCGCTGGCTTGTGTGGTTCAACGTCACGGCTGAGTCACAGCAGGGATGGGGCAGGAATTACCCTTTGTGGTGCAAAAAATCCCCTGGATGGTGACTGAAGGAGTGTCCAGTCATTCTTTAAAGTGAGAGAGAAAAAGAAAACAAGTCAGAGAGAAAAAAGAACTGCGCCGCGGATTTTCAGGAACTGCAGTCAAGAGTTCCCCCCTCTGAGCACCTTGGGCTGCTTCCTGCGGGCTTCCTCATCTTCCTCCTCCTCCCTGGGGACTTTGGCGGCACACAGTCACAGCTGGTGACTTGTCTGTGTTCCCTGGCATCCTGAAGCAGCCTAGAATTCTCGGTGGGGGTGCTCACCGCCCCGGTGGAAATCCCCAGATTTCTGGAGGCTGGTCCAAAAATGCAAGTTCCAGGCGCTTTAGCTCTGTGCTGGCCATTGGGTGTCAGGTAGAGGTCACTTCCTCATAGTGCGTCTCAGTAACCTCATCTATAAAAAAGAAAAAAAAAAAAAAGGAGTTGTTACAGGTTGTCGCCAAGGCCCCTCTGGGTTCAGAGATTGTGGAACCCTGTGGCCAAGCCACCTGAGGCAGCTGGGAGGCTTCTGATGTCCTGGCCCTGCCCGTGGCATTTCTCATCAGTCACAGTGATGACACAGCCCCCTCCCCCACCACCTTTGAAATTAGGCCTCAGGACCACGAACTGCTCAGGGCCCTCCCCCGGCAGTGCCCCACTCAGGAAGTCACAGGTAGCTACACACTTGGGTCAGGCGCTACCACTTCCCGGCTCTGAGGAGAACGAGGCTCGAAATAAATACTAGGTTGCAGGGAGTTGGGCTCAGTGGCCAAGAGGGACGAGATCCATGGCTGTGTAGGAACTAGGGCTCTGGGCATGTCTACTGCGTGCTGGGTGACATTTTCCCTCCTACTCCTTACAGCAACCTGCTGAGGATTTAACAGCCACGTAGAGGCACAGAGAAACAAGGTGCCTGGTCCAGAGTCACAGCCCCTGGTAACAGAGCGTTAGCAGCAGGTCTGTGGGACTCCAAGATCTGAGTTCTTTTACCCACATGAGAGAGACAAGAACGAGGCGACTTGGTGGCACTTATACAGCTGGGATGGAGAGCAGAACTACCAGCCTGTTTTCTCATCTACCGGATGGAAGAGATGATCTCTCATCTTCCTATCCAAACATCTTCCTGTGCAAACTTCCATAGTGGTTTCAAATCATGGGCTTTGAGGTCTCACAGGTCCGAGTTGGGATCCTAAGTCTTCCATTTACTACCTTTGGGTCCTGGGACGTGGTCTTTAACTTCTCTGAATGTCAGTCCTTGCCTCTGTGAAATGGCATGATAATAGTATCGACCTTACCCATGTGTTGGTGAATGAGGTGAAGGGCGGAAACCTGGCATGGTGCACGGCCCAAGCGGACGGCTTGGAAGGCTTTGACATTGAATTCCAGCGGTGGCCACAGCCCTTCCAGCTCCTCAAGATCAGGGAACAGAACTAAGATGGTAAATTATGCTTACATGGCGTTTCCATATCCATCAACTTTACTTGAGCCTCTGAAGTGGGCAAGTTAGGTCTGACCCTAGAAAATTCAACTGCCCCCCCTTCCCTGGAACAGTATTGGGGCTCCTGGCAAAGAGGGCATGGCACCCTACCACTGCAGTGTAAATTGGGACCTCTCCCCTAACCAGGGCCAGCTGTGCCCTGGCCCTCTCAGCTAATGACCTTGAGGCCTACCTCAGAGAAAAGACCATCGGAAATGCACCCCCTCCCTTAACCACATACCCCAAACCTGCAAACTGCCCTGCGTCCCCACCAATTCTCGCTTTCCCTTCCTTTGGCATAGATTGGCACTTATCTCGCTATCCAAGGTCTGGGTCCCTCTGTCCCTAGTCCCTTTTCTCTTCCCTGTCTTCTATGCCTCCCTATCAGCTCTTCCATACGAGCATCAAAATATACACAAGCTGTTCCAATCATAAAAGTGAAAAATGACCATTAGTGCTGTGTCGAGTACTTTTAACCGCCTCGTCTAATCTTCACATGCTCCCTAAGAGGCACAAGTGTTGTTCATCATTATCATCATCATTCCCATTTTACAGATCAGCAAGTGAGGCACAAACTGGTTGAGTGACTTGCCCAAGGTCTTGTAGATAGTGCATGGGGACTCCTGACCCCAGAGCCTGTGCTTTAACCACACATCCTGCTTTTAAATCCTGCTCTTCACCCTTACCCCAAAGTCCTATCCTGCATCTACACTCGCTCCTCACTTTATCAGAACTTCTGGAAAAGACTGTCTACATAGAGAAATCCTCGCTCGAATCTCCAGGAAACACCTCCCCGAGATCCTCAATGTTGGTGTCACCGAACACCCAGGACCTGTCCCTGCTGCTATCCAACTAGCCCTCTGGCCAGCACCTGACGCCACTGTGGGCTCCTCCTGTCAAATTCCCTTCCTTCCCTTGGCTTTCGCACCCCCCCATGTACTTCCCCCCTTCCCCACGTATCCGGAAGCTCTTTATCTTCTCCTTGACCCCCTTCTCTTCCGCTCTGAACCTCCACTGGCCCCATCTCCGTGGCTCCTCGGCAGGATCCGCTCGGTTGGAGTCTTTGCGCCGCATACACCCAGTTCCCACAACCGTCCACTTGAACTTTGGGTGCCCACTTGACCAGAGCCCTGGGAGTCTCTGTGGGCTGCCCCACAACGGGGTCGGGCGCCCGGCTTTTCTATCCCATAGTGTCCCCAGCCCGAGCACAGCCCCCTGCCGCCCGGCTCGATGATGCCAGAAGATTGCCTGTCTATGCCCCCGCCGCCCGTTTCGTGCTCCCCCCCCCCCCCGGGCAGGTGACTGTCGCCTCGCCACCGCCACATCAGGTGCGTGCCCAGGGCAGGGAGCAGAGCAGCGCCCTCTTCGAGGACGGGTGAACCCCCGGGCTGCCCCGGCTGCCCGCAGGAAGGCCTGGCGGGGGAATCCGGGGGCGGGCTCCGCGGCCGCGGGGTCCCGGTCCCGGTCCCGGGCCGCGCCGGGCGGGAGGCGGGCGCGAGGGGAGGCCCCCGCGCGAGCGAACGCCAGCCGGGGCGGCCCGGGGCCGGGGAGCGCGGGGGCGGGGGCCGCGGGGCCGCCGGCAGGCCCGGGGCGGGGTGGCCTGGGGTGGGGGCGGGGTGCAGTGCAACCAACCTCGGCGCCGCCGCCGCCGCCGTAGCCTTCCCGCCGCCCAGCGGGAGCTTCCGGTGGGGCGCCGGGGACGTGGCCCGGGAGGCGGAAGCCGGGGAGGCCGGGAGCAGGTCCCCGCAGCGCCCGCCGGCTCCCGCGGCCGCCCCGGGGGCGGGGCCAGCGCTTCCCCGAAGGGGAAACTGAGGCTCGGGGCGGGGTCTGCAGCGTAGGGACTGGCACGCCGCCCTTGCCCTTGCCCTTGCCCTTGGCACCAACGCAGGACTCAGTAAAGCATTCGCAGAGTAAACGAATACAGACCTGGGACCCCCCCCCCCCCCCCCCCCGCCCCATCCTGCTTGCCTGCAATCCCGCGTGGGGATGGGGAGAGCAGTAGCAAAAACCCCAGTCTTCGCTCCCCTGGCTTCGTGCCAGGAGCCCAGCCCAGTGCCAGGCTCGCTCGGGCTTCGCCGCGCTGGTTTGCAGCAGGCCGCAGAGAAACGGGACAAAGCAATCCAAGGGCACGCCGCGTCGGCAAAACTGGATGTTTTAAGGAACCATTTCTGATTTCACCTAAATACACACACACACAAGGCCACTTATTCGCTATGAATTTGTGTATATGAGTCGAAATAGGTATGGAGCTTAGTGGAATTTTTAAGAGATACGAACAGCCTTTATTTTTATGAATTTGACAAAGGTTCCTTCTTCATCACACCTCTAATATCTGAAGGACTGTTAGCTGAGGGAGGAGTGAGGCTGCCCAGCTTGGTGGTCTGGCTTTGGTCGTGTGTGTGTGTGTGTGTGTGTGTTTAGTTACTTGGAGGCACCTAGTAAATTCTCTTTATGTATCAGGGTTTTCTGTGTGTGTGTGTGTGTGTGTGTGTGTGTGTGTGTATAGCCAACTGGAGTTGGGAGCTGTGTTTTTATATTTTTTAATGTTTATTTATTGAGAGAGAGAGAGAGAGAGACTGAGAATGGGGGAGTGGCAGAGAGAGAGAGAGAGAGAGGAAGAGAGAGAATCCCAAGCAGGCTCCACACTCAGCCTGGAGCCAGAGGAGAGTCCCGATCTCATGAACCCTGGGATCATGACCTGAGCTGAAATCAGGATCCCGATGCTTAAGCACCTGTGTCCACCCAGGTGCCCCTGGTTTTATTTTTTTTTATTATTTTTTTTAATTTTTAATGTTTTATTTATTTCTAGGAGAGAGAGAGAGAGACAGCGTGAGCAGGGGAGGGTCAGAGAGAGAGGGAGTCACAGACTGAAACAGGCTCCAGGCTCCGAGCTGGCAGTCAGCACAGAGCCCGACGCGGGGCTCGAACCCACGAACTGCGAGATCATGACCTAAGCGAAAGTCGGACGCTCAACCGACTAAGCCACCCAGGCGCCCCCCTGGTTTTATTTTTTTAACCTGAGCTGTCTTTAAGCCTCCTACCCAGAGCAGACCTTCTTCTGGCTTCTGAGGGAGGAGGTGATGCTGTAGGCAGGGAGCTTTGTGGCTGAAAGGCGACCTTCAGGTCCTCCCTGGAGGGGAGACCCCTGCTCAAGCAGAAGGTCCCGGGCGCCTCCAACACCGGCTGTCTGTGGGAAGTTTGACCAGTGGTGTCCTCTGTAGGGTCCTTCAGTTCTAAGGGAAAAGGATTGAGGTTTGCGTCTCTGGTTTAAAAACTCATTGATCTGGGGCATTTGGGTGGCTCAAGTCTGTTAAGCATCTGACGTCAGCTCAGGTCATGATCTCAAGTTTGTGAGTTCGAGCCCCGAGTCAGGCTCTGTGCTGACAGTTCAGAGCCTGGAGCCTGCTTTGGATTCTCTGTCTCCCTCTCTCTATCTGTCCCTCTCCCATTCGTGCTCTCTATCTCTCTCTCAACAATAAATAAATGTTAAAAAAATGTTTTTAAATTAAAAAAAAAAAAAACTCCTGATTCTTAGTCCAGTCCATGAAGGATTTGGGACCTGTGAAAGCCATTCTCTGGTCCCACCTCTCTCCCAACCGCCCTTTCCTCTCCGCCCCCCAAAACAAAGCAGTGTAAGTGAACCAGCAGCCTGACCTCACTCTCTTCATGTGTCACTTCCTGTTTTCAAATTAATGAGCTCATTTGGTGGAAATTCACCAAGGGAAATAGTTTAATTTTGGAAAGTACCAAAAACTTATCTGTAGTCATTTGGCTTATTTTGGGGGGCTCTTGAAATTGAGGGGGCATCACCAGAGGACTGCTGAGTGCTCAGGGGGACGGCAAGGCTGAAGAAATTGAAAGCCAAGCCCTGTGAGGCTGAATCTGACTCAGAAAGGAAATGAAACCTTTTGGAGACCACTCATCTCTACCCAGTAGAGACTTTTTTTTTTCTAAAAATAAGTTTAAAAAGAAATGCAGTCCATCTGGCTCAGCCCTGAGATCTGGTGGTCTGAGCATGCGGCCGTGACTGAGGCACAAGAAAGCGAACACAGGGAAGCAGGGAGTGTTTGAGCCTCTGCGGTTCCTTTCACATCCAGATCTGCTGGGTTTGTTGTAAGAGGCACCAAAAGACCCGTTCTCCAGCTTTGCCCCAGATCTTCAGGCACCGCGCTCTTGATATTGAAGTTGCCCTCCCGCTCTCCTAGCCTTTGAGCCTGTGGCTCCTGAAAGGAGCTGTGAATGACCAGAAGGATGCTGGGTAATTACATTTCTGTGAGCCGTGCCGCACTGTTTGAGCACACATGACAAGCCCCTTATGTGTCCGACCACCTCCTGGCCCGCCCTATTTCCTAGCGCAGAGATTTTTTTCAATCCCTTCTAAGACGGAGAATAGGAAAACGGTAAGAGCTGACCAAACTCTGACAATTCGGTCCTGGGAGGGAAGGAATTCTTATCTTCCCCATCTCTACCCCCACGTGAAATCTCTAAGCCATACACTGGACGATATATTTATATATTGGACTGAGCACTGGATTAGAAGTCAGACTTGTGTTCTGTTTGTTTTTTTCTCTCCTCTAAACCAGTTGTTTGGGATAAATAAATGAATGCTTAAGAGTTCTAAAAACATAATAGTTCATAGATTTTTTTTTATAGTGGAAAATAACCTTAAAGATCATAGAACCTGTTGGGTTTTTTTCAAACTTTGTATTAGCTGTGGGACTGTATCTTTGAATGCTTTCTCTCATGGAGCCCAGATAGACAAAACTACTAGAAGCAGAGATGATCTGTCAAACAGAGGAGGTGGCCCAGAGCCTGTGCACTGGGCTTTTGTCAACCCTAGGCTGACCTCTGGGCTCTGGGGACGTGGTTTGCAAATCACGGGCCTAATGAGGGCTTCTCAGGTCCCAAATGTGGAAACTGGGATTCTCTCCTGGTCTGACTTGCCTCAGCGGTCCCAGACCATCCACCCTGTACTCTGACACCCGTGGCTTTATGTACACTATATAGTGCAGCTGCTCGTGACCCAGAGCATTAGAGGGAGGGAGACATTACCCTGGCCGGGTCATCAGCCTTCTGGGCAAAGGCAGGATTAGGTTGTAGCCCAAACATCTGGAGGATTGAGGTCTGTGGTCCTGGCAAAAATGATAACAGCGACAAGAAGGGAACAGTTAACTCACGGGGACCCTTTGCACGCCGCGACTTTCAGCTTAGAATCCAGGTCTAGGGCACAGGTAAGTGAAGTGGGTCCACCTGACTCCTTGTTCTAGATCAATATGGCAGCCCGCTCTCCAGCCCCTTAATTCTTGACTTTTCTTGAACGAGAGACAGCTTAATGTCTTCTTCAGGGAGAGGAGAGGAGATGAGTCATGGTGATCCATTTACAGGTCAAGAGGAGCCTTCCTGAGGGTGGGTTAGAGGAGAATGAGATCAGAGAGTCCATTCTAGGGCGGGTGGGGAATAGAAGGTGGGTCACAGTGGCTGCAGACATTTTCACTGACTTCACCCCACATATATTTGTTGAACACTTTCACGGTGTTAGGCCATAAGCAAGGTCCCACACTACAGCTGTGAATGACACCGACATGGCTCCTTAGCCCCATCACGGCTCCCATCTAGATGTACGTGAACCCCCTGCGTGAATCAAGTCAGCTAATGACAGCCAACTGGGTGTGCTCCTATTTGTCAACAGCCCTTAAAATATGGAGCCCAGAATGGGCTATCCTCCCACCTCTAAATACCGAGGGCTCCTAACTTTGTCCATATATTCCTTCTTTTTGTTGCTAGTAACCTGCCTCGTTCCTCATACTCACAGCTTGTGTTTAGTAAAAACAGTTAGTGAACAGCTTTCCCGTTAGCATTACCTTAATCTCCTCTGATA